GGACAAACAAAAGTCTGGAAAACAAAGTTCCTTGTCCCCTTTAGTCCGACAGATCAGTACAACACTCTTTTCTGCATTATATTTCACATCATACTTCAATCCATAGTCCGAGCACACATTCAGCAGTTGCTGAAAACCAGCACTGCTGGGTGAAAGTATGGCCAAATCATATGGTGTCATAAAGAAAACAAGACACCCTAAGTTTTAAGTGTCACAGCCAGTCTTCTTTTTGTGGCACATTCAAGGGGCTTGGTTTTCCTTCTCACGTTGGTAAAACAAAAAATAAAATAGGTAATTAATGTATGAACCATAACACTCAGGAATACAAAGGTGTACATATTCACACATGGGTGTACAGAGTAAAATGGTCTCTCCCTATCTCTCTCCTCACTGCTCTCCATGCCCCTGTGGTACTGAAATATGCACACCATCGATTACTTTACATCTGTTTTTCTATTCTTATTACTCATATTCTTTTCTTATCATTAAGAGTAATGGTTAAAAAAGGCTAAATCACATCCTTTATATGTGTTGCATCTGTCATTTAGTCTGACCATGAAAAAACATGTCTGTTCTTCAGGGTAAAACACATTACCTTGTGGACATTAAAGGCAGATTACAAGTTTTTTTACAGTTTCAGTTGAAGAGGAGCCAAGTGCATTAAACACTATCATCCACATATAAATGGATATTAGTGTTACACTACCTACTGATCCTGGACCCCCTCTATTCATTACAACAAAAAATATTTTCCTCTTTGAAAATCCAGTAGCTGTGTCCTCTACACCAAAAAGAAAACTTGTGACAGTTTTGTACCTCTAGTACAAAACAATGTTACGTTCACAACCCTCCACACACCCAGTAAAGTCACTGTGTTTCACTGCTTTCAATTTCACCAGGTAAAAAAAAACACTCTTCAGGTCATGTGCTGCAACAGGAGCCCTTACTAGCTGGTATAGATGGCAACACTAGAGTTCCATAAGTAATTATGGTTTAATCAATTCAGAGTCATATTTTCTATCTAGAATTAAAACATCTGAAAACAGCTGACATGGTTAGAAAAGACAAACATTTGAGCTGTGAGAGTTGTAGTTTGTTCTTATTGTGGCAGTAATGTCGCCCCCTGGGGGCTGCTGCCAGCCCCTTTTCTTTCCTTTTCATCTTTATGAAGTGTGTTTTGTAAACCGACCAGTATACACAGGTAGACTACATTCTACGTAGAAGAGGGAATCTGAGAGAGATTATTGACTGCAAAGTGGTCGTAGGAGAAAGTGTAGCCAGACAGCATCGGGTGGTGGTGTGTAGGATGACTCTGGTGGTCAGGAAGAAGAGGAGAGGAAAGACAGAAAAGAAGACCAAGTGGTGGATGTTGCAAAAGAAAGAATGTCGTGAGGAATTCAGACAGAAGTTGAGACAGGCTTTGGGTGGTCAGGAAGAACTTCCAGATAACTGGGAAACTACAGCAGAAGTGATCAGGGAGGCAGGTAGGAAGGTGTGAGGTGTGTCATCTGGAAGGAGGATAGAAGATAAGGAAACATGGTGGTGGAATGAGGAAGTACAGGACAGCATTCAGAGGAAGAGGCTAGCTAAAAAGAAGTGGGACGTAGAAAGGACTGAAGACAGTAGACAGGATTACAAGAAATTGGAGCGTAGAGTGAAGAGGGAGGTGGCAATGGACCAAACAGAAAGCACATGATGAGTTGTATGCCAGGTTAGACATGAGGGAAGGTGAGAAGGACTTATAGAGATTAGCAAGACAGAGAGATAGAGATGGGAAGGATGTGCAACAGATAAGGGCGATTAAAGACAGAGATGGAAAGGTGCTAACAAGTGAGGAGAGTGTGCAGAGAAGATGGAAGGAGTATTTTGA